CTGAAGAGGATAACGAGATGAACTGATGAATTTATTGTTTTGTCGCCGATTCTTCATGAGTGTACAAAGTTCAAAATACATCTGTCCGTTTAAAGTTAGTCGAAATCGAGTCCAAAGGAGTCGGTAATAAACAAAAATGTTAATTTTGTACTTCATGATTAACAAGGTTTTTAAAATTTACGTATTTCTCTTCTCGTTATATGAATCTCTTTTCATTTCAATCACTCTTTGTATGTACGATTGAAAAACTGAAAGTTTCTAATTGATTTTCCGTTGCCTTCTGTGTATGAAGTCTGATAAAAAATATTCGAGAAGATATCCAGTCAAAGTTTCCATTTGGACAATTACTATTTACATAACTAATATTACTAGAGTTGCATTCCAACACCAAACCATGATCACCAAGTGATCATCTTCAAGAGAAAGATTAAATTCAGTTTAATTTTCCTCTTCTTCCTCTTGGTGATCGAAACACGTGTAGAGGTGTTGAAAATAACGGTTTGGTGTTGGGATAAAACTCCAGTAATATTCATTACTACACCAAGGGTTCCAAAGAGTACATTAAAAATTTCCATAATCAATTTAGAATATAAATCTTCAATAGAATCTGTTTCATTTCTTACAGCAAAACTGACTACCCTGCTGATGTTGCAATTATCGAAATTAAAAAAAATAATCGGATTCACTACTATTTCCTAATATCCTCATTACAACTGTGTTCCTACGCCCCTACTGCTGTCAGGAGTTAAACTTTTGTTAATTTCAAATTTATCGACATTGTGCGAGCTCTTCGCCATGGAAAGGTCATCTGGTCCACCTGGAGACAACTGGGAGGGGCTTGGTGAGCTTCTGAAGCTATGAGGGCTCCTGCTTTCAGCACCGGGTGAACAATGACAGGGTACTGGAAGACCAGGGTTCATAACGGTAGGGTATTCTTGTGGTTTTTCTGCCAATTCCGTTGGATTGCCAGGAAGTTGAGGTCTACCTGGAAAAGTTCTCATGAACTCATTGCTCCATTATTCAACGTAAGCAGTAATAATGCACTTCAAATGTATATCTTGGCCGGGATGTAAATAGATCTCAAGAGAGAGACAGAAAGGTTAGCTGTTCAATTGAAAAAGATGAACAAAATTGAACGATGAAAAAAAGAAAAAATAAACTTTCTATGTTTTTACCACTTTTATTTGTAACTAACGTTACTGCAGTTTCGTCCTATACGTACATTTTCAAACTTATATTGTATAAGTATATATTGTATTGAAAATGTAGTAACGTTAGTTGCGAATAAAAGTGGTAAAAACATAGAAAGTTTAATTTCTCCTTTTTTCATTATTATTTTCTACCACGTAGTAACGGCTACATCCATCAAAATTGAATGATATTGTGTTCACTGAGATTATTTTAATCCTTGGCAATCTTTTCATATCTTTCAAATCTTTTTGTAACTCGCAAAGGAAAGCCCAACAGTATTATTAATATTACTGATATATAAGTTTTTTAGCCCATAATCAGAAATACCAATAAAACGAAAGTCATAATCTCCATACGAAATGGTATTTGTAGTGTAATTGTAGTAGTTGTATAATGTAATTTTAGCAATGGAACCTGCTTCTCAATTGTCTTTTCTGGGCTCAACAGTTGACTGAAAACTGGACTGGAAGAGTCACATAATATAAAGAACTGTTTTGCATTGAAATAGGTATCATCCTTTGGAGAACGATTGTAGATACTTAGCGAATATTCGTTCTGCAATCACAATGTTTGACAAACATGTTACATATGCCCTGAACAGAGAGTTGTGGGGAAATCTTTACTCTTCATTCTAACAAGTATATTTTTGTTCGAAGGTGGTTGACAACATTTTACAGTGAATTCTACTAGTTTGGAGTTCCATTGTCTGATTTGATTCAAATATGATTTGGAATCTCTGAAAGAACAAATACAATTGAAATCATTAGCTAATACATTATTATTATTAGGCAATGCAGTGTGAAATGAAATTACAATTGAACGAATAAAATGAACAAGATGAAAGATGAAAATGACCCCAGAGTGTGAAGAAATAGAGAATTAAAATGAAACTGAGATAAGCAAAAAATTATAAATTAAATAATTGGAAAAATTTATTTGAATGATTAAAAAAAATCCAAACCAAGTTACTTTACGACATTTCGACGGTTAGCATCCACAATCGACTTCGGGTGATGACTGGACCATTCCTTCAAGACATGGCTATTGATAGGTCATTCGAACGCTTTCACACATCCTAGCAGGAGTTGACCGTTTTCCCGCTTGAGAACAGATTTCCATATGTTGCGTATCTCTACACTAGCCTGGCTGAATGCGTCGTTGGACAAAATATATGTAGCTTCTTTGAACTTCCTCTTAAACCAGTGTTCCTCCCTGTGGATGATCTCAGTTTGGGACTACTTGATGTTATGTTGATGAGTCCAAACATGCTCTGCTATTCTCGATTTGCTGGTTTCTCCTCGCTTTGTATTTCTCTTGTGCTCGGCAATGTGGACTTTCACTGGCCTCTTAGTTTCACCAATAAAGGATTTTCCGCATTCACAGGGTATCTGGTAAATGCAATTCTTGGAATCACAGTCCGCGTTTGGTGGCCTGGTTTTCTTGAGGTTCCTACGGATGGTGTTTCCGGATCTGTAGCAGGTTCTGATGTTGTACAACCCAATTCTTCTTATCCTTTCCGATAATCCTCTGATGTAGGGGCAAGAACTGGTTGTGACGGCTTCTCTTTTTCTGGTGAGGCTCTTGCTATCTTTCACTTTGGAATAACCATTCCAATGAAATATGTCTAAGAATGGCAATTCGTGATGGAAGGTTGTTTGCTGTTGATTTGCTTTGAAGAGGTGTCTCGTTTTGTATTCCCATGGTTCCATACTATGAAGGGTATCTCACGCAGATTTGGGGCTTCCTGTGGGCTTCTTCATTGGTGAGAGTTTCAAACCATTCAAACCGTAAAGAACTCATCCTTCAGTGGGAAATAGTAAATCCTTGACTATTTATATAGATAAGATTGTTCTATTTCCCAGATCCTCGTCTTGAATAGCTTCTTCTGATTAATTTGAAGTGCTTCTTCGACAGGAACGTTGGTGTAAAGTCTTTCCACGTCGAAACTGATTGATTGGTCATGATCCGCGACTTCGATTGCCTTTAATAATTCGACAAAATGTATAGAAATCTCTTTCGATAGTTTACGAACAGTATGTCATATTCCAGAATTTTTTGTGAAGTTAGTGCTGTCAAATATTCTCGAATGTTCTGGATTCTTCTGGAAATTTTCCAGCCTATTCTTGGTGGACACGCTGATGAGACCCTTTGTTTTGATAATTGTTTGAAGCTAATTTGGGTCGCTAGTTTATTATAATTAACTATAAAGAAAATACCTAGTGTAAACCTTCTAATTCTTTGCGCGATTGTAATGTCTAGAACAAAACCTGGAATAATTATCAAAGGACTCATGGGGAATAGCGATTCCAAACCGAATTTTAGATTCAGTAATGAATAAATACCTGATAGAATCAACTGAGGAGAAGTGATTCCTAAACAGCGCATCCGCCAAGCANTTGATATTTCTCACATCGCCAGAAAGCTTGGTTGAAAATTTGTATGCAATTGAATAGAGATCACTTTTTCTCGTGAAAGTGAATCAAAGAGAAATCAAGAAGCTAAGTACCGTCATGCTGGAGTTCTCAAAAAAATCATGAGGAACAGATCTACCGTATCAATAATTCAAGAAAAATTATAGATGGAACTAGGCAATGTAATGCTGAATAATAATGATTTCACTATGCAAGATCTTAACTTTTCCACTTTAATTAAACTCCTGTATGGTATTATGTATTTGAAGAGATGTTTGAGTTGCGAAGAAACAACCAGATCGATTTGAAATATTACGTTTGTACTTCAATCAAATGTGTACGAGTTCTAAATAATATTTTCGAAAATAGTTTAAACAATAATTTTCTGATTGTGATAATAGTTATATTATTGGTATTGATTCAATATTATACTTTTGAGTAATAGTTCAAGAGGAATAAATGAATGAATGAATGAAAAAATATTTAAATTGTCGACAGGTATATCTGCTGAAAAATTGCAGGTAGCTGAATTTTTTAATAAACTGAACGTACCTACCATTCTTTCATTAAAATTCAAAGTTGGGAATGAAATAATATATTTCCGGATCTAGCAAAATAGCAATACATTGTTGATGTAATCAGAAAATAGAAAAAACTCTTGCTATTGATGATTCGCAAGATTTCAATTTCTATATGATTCGTCAATTTTATGTTTGATTGTAGAAATTTTATGACCTTCTTCATGAAACGTTTTATATTAGATGGAAAAGAATATAATATGTATCTGACTTGGTTTTAGTTTTCAACTTGGTCAAGATTTTGGTTCTGTTTGATATAGAGAAAATGAGAAGTTATTTTTTGTACGGCCAACTTTTTTTGTACAAAATCACACTCTCAATTGTTTTCATACAGGGTCAAAAAGGAAAATTGACACAAACATACTATCAAATTAAATAAACAAGATTAACAAAGAGAAACATTTCAAATTAAAATGTTAAGAAATTGTAGAAGATAATAAAGTATATATTGTGATGTGAAACATCTATAGCCGCCCGTGCCGACGTGTCGCCATGCGCAAGCGACTGTGCGATTCTCTTCCGACTGGTTCGACGTTAGCTATTTCTCTTGTGTATGAAGTTGTGTCCACTACATAACGTATGTTTTACTAAATGAATAATCTCTAAAAGCAATTGAAAATGAAATCCTGCAAAGATAGTAAAATCACACACTACCAAGTCATCAGTAATTGAATTATATTTTTAATTTCATAATTGAAGTCTGCAAGTATTGCATGTGGTGGAGTAACTAACAACTACCTCTTAGTCTACCAAAGAAAATATATTTCATACGTCATACGTCATATATACAACACCCCATATAAGAAAGACGCTTTGGAAGTTCCTAAGATGAATAAAACTATTGGACAGAGATGTTATGTTTTTCTTGCTCATAAACTATTCAATAAAATTCCAACTGAAACTAAGAATCTCAATTCACTGTCCCTATTCAAGCGATAAGCCAAACAATGGATTAATATGAAACCTAGAAATGAGATACACTGTTTGATAGACCTCGAAAATGCAAATTGAAATGTATCCATGTTCTAAAGTCGTATATACTCGTGTATCATTTGGTATTTAATATATGTACATATATATGATTGTGTTTTAATTATTATTAAGTTATTATGGTGACTAAAATTATAAATTCCATTCAGCATATTAATCATATATACGTAACTGTGCTAAAATTGGTAGGTATTGTAGATTCACTTCATTTTGTTCCTCATTTATATATTTTATTTATTTTAGTACTGCAAACTCATTCACTTCAAGTAGTGAGTGAGATTTTCACTGAACAGTTCATACTTTATACAGTTTGAACATGCCTGAGGAAACTACTGTATAGTGAAACACGTGTTGTTGGTTATTCAAACCAAGCGACCGATGAGATTTTCTACTTTCGAAAACCATGCAAAACTTCTGCAATCAACTCACCTGAACTCTCGCCTCTGACAAACTAATCCTGAGCGCGACTTCCTCCCTCAAAAACACGTCCGGGTAGTGCGTTTTTTGAAAAAGCGCCTCCAGCTCCTGCAACTGCTGCGGACTGAACGTCGTCCTGTTGCGTCGCTGCCGTCTCCTGCCGAACATGTACTCTGTCAGCAGGTCTCCTGGCAGAGACGACAAATAGGGTCCTGCCATTATTCGATTCCCAACGATAACGCAGTTAAGATCTAACTGTGCTTTCTGAATTGCACGTTATTATAGAAATTAAACGAGACTCCACCCTGCGTTTGTTTTCATTGGCGCGCGAGCGACGCCTTCGAGGCGTCGGGACGCCCGCGCACTCCATCTCCTAATGAGATAATGTTATTATTGGTCGGGCTACCTGCAACAAGTCTGTGTTGTTTTTTGGCGCATTGCCTGGTTCGGATTGGATTTGAAATTGGAAATGATTCGGTTGTTATGGAACAATTCACCTGAATTTAATTATTTTGATTTGTGCATTACCGGGATTTTGCAGTGTGCCTGGGGAATAGTTTTCCGGGAGTAGTTTTGATATTATCAAATCAAAAACTATCAAACACTCGTTAGCAGTTGCAATGATGACTTGGAAATTTATAATGCTAGGTTACCTACTAACAAAAAATTCAATATGCGAGTCCTGCAAGGGTCAACTTTAGGCCTTATTCTCCTTAAACTCTACGATATTTAAAATATTTCAGGTAATGAAATCTATTCAGCAAAGACTGACATATATATAATTCAATAAATATAGTTTAAAAAACTGAATAACGCGCTTTTAAAGAACATCGAACTGAAAAGTTAAAAATAATTTTTTTAAATAAGCAGTAACGATCGAAAAATACTAGTATCATTGTGACAAAAGTGTGGGCGCTTTATGCCATATTTTCTGTATATCTACTTAGCGTATATCTGGAAAATAGAAGAGTTCATCATGCGGTCACTTTATATTACAACATTATTTTATCTAAAATTCCTTCATATTTGTACAACAAAATATCTTTCAGGACAGACATACATAATTTAAATCTACGATTTAAAGGATTATTATCCCCACCTAAATTCAAAACTGAAATGTTCATAAATAAAATATGTCTGACAGTGATAATTCAGAAAGTGAAAGTGAGCAGCCTCCTGCAAAGAAACGCTAATAATGGTGGATTTCATATCGAAACATTTATTATTGATATTCATAATTTAAGATCTTTAGTAATATATTGCAATAACTTCCTGATTCTTTACTAGTATATTAAAGTCAGATGGAAATTGTTCATGTATATTTCAATTACATTTTTTTTATAAATGTTTCAGTACCCAACAATCATCACAGGGGCCACAAAATATAATTTTTGAAGTTTTACATCTGCCAGGTGTGCCGTGACGCTTCACAATTTTTCTTGTTTTCCTTGGGATTATGGCAAAAAAAGTTACCAAATTTTGACTATTTCAGGCCTTTAAAAATGGTTTCCTTCAAGATAGCAATGTTTTTCTGCATCAAAGTCTCTGTTTACAATGTGTATTATTGAATATAAATGAAATGGTGAAATTGCCAAGAATTTTTCTTATTGTAGATACAACTTGCATATTTACACATTTTTAAATTCCAACATGACTTCTGTTTTGAACGAAAGAGTTACTTTGCATCTTTTATATAGATTTGTATTTGTTTTATCAATAAAAGTCACATAATAACAACAAAATATTTACTTCTGGAGAAACATAATCAATTATTGAACAGCAAAAGTAATGGGATTGGGGCACTGTTATATTCATAATTGATAAATAATGGAACTGGCCGATACTTGATGTAGATCCATATGAGAACATACTAATGAGATTTGTTTAGATTTTCACTATAAAAGGTTTACAAAACCGTGACACATGTTTCTCTTTTCAATAGGTAGAAATCAAAATAATCTTATTAGTAAGTTCTTATTAATCATCATGTTTGAACTGAAAATATAGAATACGAACATTTTTATTCTACAATTTCCTGCAACTCACTAAATAAATAATATTTACAGTTCATCTAGATGTTAGCTTTTGCGTTGATAAAGAGTGGAGAAACATATTTTACATTTTCATTTTATAGGTTATTGGGAACACTTTTCATACATTTGAGATATAATCATGGATTATTTCTCAAGAACCATTTCGTGTTGAGACCTAGTGTATTTGGTTGAATTTTCCGGATTGTGGAATTCATACGGGCATAAAAATGTATGCCATTACTCGTATTCTGAATAGTAGTTGACATACTGAAAAAGGTGTTCCCCAAACAAAAAAAATCATCATATTCGTAAAACCATTCAGCAACATGTATATTGAAATTCCAACAAAGCAAACATTCCTTCCCACGAAAACTTTGGCTTTTCACTCCTTTTGGTTTAGGCCTTAGAGGGTCATTTGATACCTCTTTAAAGTATATTATTTTCGTAGACCTGAAGTAAAGATAATAACCCAAAAGTTCTTGTCCTGCTTTCATGAACTTATCTTTCAATCACGATTGGGGCCTTTCCTAACCAAACGCTGTACAAAAAGAAAAAAAAAATCATTGGCAAAAATGATGAATCTGTTCGGCTTTCGTGAAAATAGTTTTCAATATCAAAGAGGGTAATGTCATATAATTCAGTTGGTTTTTGGGTGGTGAACATAGGAGCAACGGTTCAAGAATAAATAATAATAATAATAATAAGAATGATAAATTGTTATTATTTCGTAAATTGAAAAAATAGTCTTCATTGTAATGATCGTGAACCTCAATTCTAAGGTAGAAGTTTATGTCCCATGAAGCCACAATGTACATGACATAACAAAGTAAGTGACCTTTTTTGACATAAAACACTAGGCTCACAAAACCCGCTTAATAATTTATTTTCTTACTAGTAATGTATAAATGAGAAAATCAATATCCATGTGATTCAATGTACATATTTGAGAGTATTTATTCT